CTTCCTGTTGGAGTGAGATGCTGCTGAGAAGACAAAGAGCTTTGTAACCCATGCCGGAGCAGGGCAGGGGCCAGCCTGAGGGACAGCTGAGCAACTTCCCTGACCAATGTATCCTGAGTCATTCTGGGTCCTGAATTGTAACTTATTACTTCCCTAATAAGCCCCATAACCGTAAATATTGTCTGTGAGCTGTGTGCGGTCATTGCAATGAATTGACAAACGCAGCTGAGAAGTAGAAAGTGTCTAGCCGTGTTGCTGTTGATTTTATTCTCCTTCCCTCTTGTGAAGTTAGAGAAGATCAAAGGACTCCAGTCAAAAGCCACGTCCTTCCGTCTAGTTGATTTTCTCATAGTGACAGAGTGGAAATGCTCTATAGGTTTTCTGAGGTTTTAAATCTTTAAGGATTTAAAGGAGCTCTGGTAGCGTAGTGGTTATGAATTGGGCTGCGAACCTTAAGGTCAGCAGTTTGAAACTACCAGACGCTTTGAAGCGTGGGAGAAAGATGAGGCTTTCTACTCCCATTTAAGATTTACAGACTTGGAAACCGTGTATAGGGACCCTATGGGTCGGAATCGACTTGACGGCACGGCACTTAACAACAACAACAAATTTTTAAGGAAGCAGACTGCCACATTTTTCTCCCAAGGATCTGCTGGTGCATTTGAACTGTGACTTGAGGTTAGCAGTCCAGCATTTAACCTACAGTGCCACCAGGATTTTTCAGACGACCCGGCACTACATTGGTACACTGCCCCCGGACCACTTAACACTTCACCCTGTGCTGGGCGAAGAGAACAGAGCCATGCCCAGTGGCAGCAGGTATGGGCCTGACTTTGTCTCATAGGCTTGACCTAGCCCACCATGACAGCCCTGGACACCACTGTGGCAGCTCCATAGGGTCCTGCTCAGCCCTGTCTCTAGGGTTCAAGCATAAGAAAACTGCCTTATATCTCTCCACAAGGATAGGAGAAGGGCAAGAACACGAGCTGGTGGTAGCTCTAGACATAGACTTTTCTCTGGACATTTTTATTTTGGAATCAGTTTAGGTTTACAGAGACGTTGCAAGATAGTACCTGGTCCCTCGCACCTGTCCCCTAGTTCTCCGCGCAGGCGGACACCCTATCAGTGGGCAGGTCAGCTGTAAACACGGAGGAGCGGTTGGCACTGGTGCAAATTTCATTCAGATGTCACCATTTCCTCCACTGTCCTTGATTTGTTACAGAAACAGACCGGGGACAGCAGGCAGAGATAAAGGCCAGGGTTAGGCATTCATTTTAAGGTCCTAGCCTGGCTGGTGGTCAGCTGGGGGAGTGGGGGGGCCTGTTGCCACATGCAGAGGTGAAAGGAATCACAGGGCTGTGGCAGGGAGATAACAGGTCAACACCGGTGGAAGGACCCCAAGCCCGGAAGTCGGAAGCTCCGGCAGCTGCCAGACTCAGGCTTAGTCCCAGCATACTGCCTAGCTGGGCTCCGCCCCTTTTCCAGCCTCTGTTTTTCTTATCCGTTAAATGGGTTAAACATTCCACGAGACAAAGGTGACACACAAGGAAAGCTATAATAAAAACGCCACCAAAGACCAAGCTAATAAATGGTTTGTTGTGAAGTGCCGTCGGTCGGTTGCGACCCATAGGACCATGTATAGGGTTTCCAAGGAGCAGCTGGTGAGCTTGAACCCAAAGGACTTTGCATTCGGACGCATCAGCCCACAGCGCCACACCAGGACTCCATTAATAAACGGTTGTTGTTGTGTGCCGTGGAGTCGGTTCCGACTCATAGCGACCCTGTACAGAGTTTACGGGAGCAGAAAGCCTCATCTTTCTCCCGCGGAACAGCTGGTAGTTTCGAACTGCTGACCTTGCGGTTCGCAGCCCGATTCGTAACCGCTACGTTACCAGAGCACCTTTAATAAACGGTGGCTACAGGAAAAAACAAAAACCCAACCCATTCCATCCTGCGAAGCAGGACACACCCCTTCAGGTGCAAATTCCGTATCTCCCTCCTCCTGGTCCTTCCCAGTGCTTTCCTTCTCACCCTTGCTAGGGGCGATCACCTCCTTAAGGTCCCATTCCCAGGGAGAGCCTCTCCGCTGGGCTCCTGGAGGGGTTTGGGGTTGCCAGTGCCACCCGCTCCCCAGGGCACGGTCCTGACTGCCTCGGGTGATCTTTGGCCAGGGGGCCTGTTGCAAAACAAAGAGAGCACTTTGCCGAGCACTATACAGGGCCGCTCCCCTCCACCCCCACACTAGGAGCTTTCACCAGGAGACGCTACTGTCCCCGTGGCGCCTGGCCTCCGCGACCCTGCGGTACCCAGCTCTGCGCCTGGCCTGCGGCATCCAGCTGCGCACCCTTTCCCAGCCCCTCCCACTGCCTTCCCAGGCCCCCAGTTTCTCAGGCCTCAGCACCCCACACCCTGTGGAACGAGGGGGTTCCAAAACCGGGGGGCAGGCTTAGCCGGGAGTGGGGGGTGTGTCACCGCCTGCCGGGTCTTCCCCGCACCGCCCATTTGACTCGCGGGCCAATCGGCGGCCTCCTGCCTAAATAAGGCGAGGCGCGCCGGCGCCGGCCGTTACTTCCGCCCCGCCCGCCCGCC